CGCCGTGCTCCACCCCCACCATCACCGCCCATTCGCCCACCTCCACCACGCCCACTAGCCCCACCTCCGCCACATATCAGCCCGCCAACACCTCCACCTAGCCCTCCACACCACATGGTCATCATCGTGGTGTTCGTCTCCCTAGGCGGGCTCCTCCTGCTTGCATGCCTAGCTGCCTTCTGCTTGCACAAGAAAAAGAAGAGGAAGACAGAAAGGAAGGCAGAGGTATTGAACTTCAGCGACCATGTCCATGTCCACAAATCGGCCATGTCGGGCCCTGGGGGATCCAAGGCCGTCAGGCTGACAGTTGACGAGGACGTCAAGTTCCAAGAGGCGGTTAAGGAATCAGAGGCCGTCGGCAAAGAGTCAGGCACAGCCACAGCAGGAAACCACAGCGCCTGGATGTGGAACAAGAAACAGAAGAGCAAAGCAAAGCAGGATTCAGAGGTCATCAACGTCACCGGACACATCCATGTTGATGAGAAGATCGAGTCAGGGCCCCACGGCGAGAAGATCGAGGTCCTTTCAGAAGATGAAGATATCAGGTTTGAAGAGGCAGACAACAAAGAAGAATCGTCTGCAAAATCAAAGGGACGCATTACCAAGTTCTAAGACGATGGCACAATCTGCCCAAGATTGCCTGTACTGATGACACTTCAGCAGCTCGAGGCAATGATCAAATCCATACCCACACTGATTTCATGCATTTATTATTTTGATAAAGACTGTATCTTCTTTCGTGTGATTGAAATAAGGGCTTTCGTGTGATTGAAATAAGGGCGTCGGAGACCCAATTTGATTGAATCAATATGCAAACTATTGCTGTCAGCAGTTACATATGAGCAATTTATGTCTATGAATGGATTTCCTTAACAAAATATCACAGAACAAACAGTGAAAAGACTAGCGAATAAGTATTACTCCCTCCGTTCGGAATTACTTGTCTCGGAAATGGATGTATCTAGAACTAAAATACATCTAGATACATCCATTTCTGCGACAAGTAATTCCGAACGGAGGGAGTACATATGAGCAATTTATGTCTATGAATGGATTTCCTTAACAAAACATCACACAACAAACAGTGAAAAGACACTTCACGAATATTACTTCTTATCAAATTGTGTTCGCAAATAGACATGATCTTTCTGCCCATAAAATTGATCCATACGTGCCACGAGCAGAGAGTGGATTTCTGGGACTACAGCAGAAGGTGAAAACAGCAGCAGGCTACATTTCTTTACAGAGTAACCTAATTTGTAGTTTCCAGTACTTGTTGTCAATACAAAGGATATCATGATTCTAACTACTTCTGCTACTTAGTTAATTGCAATAGGAGTAATTCGCTTCTTAGTAGGCTTACTCGATGCACTCTTCTGGGCTGACACTGGTGGTGGTGTCACTTCTACAGACATAGGACTGGCTTCCGTCTTGGCTTTGCTGGCACCAACATCTACGTCCATGTTGTCTGCCTTTGGCTTTGCATGTTCACAAGCCACATTTCCTTCCTTCATTCCTGAAGAGTATAGAAGAATAACCATGAAAGGGCGATCGCCACAGGGAAAGTGCGTGCAATAAGGAACAAAGATAGCCAATGTAAGCATGATGCAGATTCAGACTGAAACTCTCTATTAGACTATTAAGCACAGTTACTACCCTGTTTAGAATGATATCCATACCCTTGGTCCTTGATGCATATACAATTTTCATATGAGCGTATATACTGACACTTAACTGAAATAAATACACTGGAAGACTATTTGGTCTATTAAATGTGATTGTTATTGTTGGCATTGTGTATGGCCGACTAATGTGTGTGGTAGGAACTATTTTAACAAAATTACACATGACCAATGTCAGAACGGCTAGCGGTTGCATGTTACTCATAACTAAATGTGTTCAGAAACAAAACCATTCTTCCATGTGGTTCCTCAGTGTGTACCATGATCAGAAGGGAAATTCTGGAGCTAGAGCTGAAGGAGAACATGGCCACAAACAAAATTTCATACACTTTGACGTAAAAGTGATTGTCCAGTACTACACAAGATGTCATAATCTTAACCACTTCAGCCACATAGTTGATTGCAACACAAGTAAATTGCTTCGAAGTAGGCTTACTCAATGTGCTATTTTCGGCCAACACTGGTGGAGGTGTCACTGTACCCACAGGGCTGCCTGACTTCTTAATTTTGCAGGTACCGACATCAACTTCCATGCTATCTACAGTTGGTGGCTTAGTATTTCTGCATGTGACATTTCCCTCTGTGACGTCCTTTTTTCCTGTGAGATTTTCAGAAAATTGAACTGTTAGAAGAGCATTTTCAAGTAAATGCATGCCATGATGGACAACTGTCCATCTTACTAGCATCTAGCAGCATAAAATTATGCACATTTGTCTTAAACCATGAATCAAAGGCGGTTGCATTCATGGATTACGAGTCCAAGGACTAGTCAAGACTAGTCTATGAGTCTCAACTCCAGGGCCGACTATACTTCAGTGTCGACTAGTCTATGAGTCGGAACTTCAGTGTCGACTAGTGTCGATTAGTCACGCATAGTCTGAGTCTCAGCCTCGGAACGACTCGTCGACTGGTCGACTCGTCAACCTTTGTTGCATCACAAGGTAAGATGCACCAATCATTGGGGTTATGATAAGAAACTGTCTGCAAACCACCCTCCCCAGAAAGAGAGAAGACAGAAAAGGGAATATATAGAAAATACCTGAGAGGGCATGCGGCTGCCCTAGTTCCTCATTCTCAAACTCAATAATAGTGCAGTAACCATCTCGCGATGACAATGACAAGTACTTCGCATCAGGAGACCTGGCAGAATAAGGAAAAGATGAATTTCTAGTTCCAGTAGGAATGCCAAATAGGAATGAGTTCCTGTGTAACCAATGGAGAAGACTCTAGAAGCAAAAAACTGTTGTTGTACTCACCATGCAATATCCGTAATGGCGGCATAATGTAGACCAGCGTGTATTAGAATTGGAGCAGCACTTTCGGTGTCATAGACATAAAGAGAGTTGAAAGTAGCAACGGCAAAAACAGCTCGGTAAGGAAGCTTGAATAAACCTTCTGCAACAGTACAGAAGTAGTTCAATTTCACTGTAACAGATCAGTAACACCGTGAGAACCTCCTGGCAGGGTTGCAAGCCAATGAAGCTACCTGATTGAGAACCACGTAGGGTGAAAACAATAGGGCAAAAACGAACTGCTACTATAGCTTTACTTGCACCAGGGAGTTGTATTGCAGGCCTGCAGGGCCAAACAAATTAGTATCCTAAAGAACTACAAAACTATGTATAGTGGAATAAGTTATACGATCAAGAAATAAGAAATTAAAATTTTAGCGTGTATCCAGAAACCACACAACTATTTATAGCATTCTAAGACAACTAGGGAATCAAAGAGCTCTGAAAGGTTAGAACATTAGTTCCATCCTATAACAGAATTTTAGATGAAGCAAGTCAATCTAATTTCCAGAAGCGCCTAGGAAATTATGTACAGCCTTCTTCAACTTTACTTGTGATTGGATGTTCGTGTAATGTGAAGGAACAAATCAGTGATAGAGCTTATCTAATGCTTTATTTTTTACATTATGTTATTGTAGGTACCAGCTGAACTCGAAGAATGGAGTCATTTATTTTAAAGCTGGGATCATAGAGATGTTATTTCAAGTATTAAATGTCCTACCTTGACAAATCTCTCCTTGACAAAATATAGGCAGTGTTGATCACTTCAGATGAGTATTTGCACAGGCCTGGTTAAGATAAAAAGAGAGCAAAACTTGTTAATGGGACAGAGAATGTGGTGAAGGTAAGCTAAATTGTGTGCACATGGTAAAATAACTATACCTGCTGGCAGTACCAGAAAAGACCCATCCGGTGACCATGCCAGCCTCCGGAAGAAAGATGGTAATGTCTCATCATGAAACAAATGAGTTTTAACTGGTGGCTGCAAGATAAAGGATTATCTTACTTGTTCAATGCACATCAAAAGGATGTGGCAGTTAAAGTACATCAAACGAACCTTGGACTCGTCATGATTTTGAAGTTCTGCCTTCACTAGTGTATGCTGGCAAACAAAGTTCATCTTCTCCGTATTCTTGGATTTGCCTTGAGGCTTGTTTGCATAAATTTTACAAGTTCTGTCAGAGCTCAAAGAGGCAATATATTGACCCAGAGGATCCCATGCCACCCCCTGAACATAATGCAAATGGCCTTCCAACATCTGTTGCACCACACCTGAGAATGATGTTGCATATCAAGCATATGATACAGAAGCCAAGATGGTGCAAACATCGAATCACCTGCTTTTGCTAGGAATTACCTTTATTAGCATCCCATATTATGCAGCTGTTGTCAACTGAAGCAGAAACAAGGTATGACCCATCACTCGACCACTGCAGGTCAAGAACATCCTTGCGATGGAACCTACCATACAAACAAGGCCAAAATAATTGAGCATGCATCAAAACAAGAGTGCTGCTTCAAGGAACCATTATTTTCAGATGGTATCTCTCACAATAAGGATTTGTGTATTTTCCAAGCCTCGCCATCATCAGTGGAGTGCAATGTCCAAAGGATAATACCACCACCTGTCACAAAGGCGCAGGAATTATTCTCTCAATATAACTGTTAATCTCTAGGTGTGTGAAGCATTTCATGATCCCAATGAAATATTAGAGTGCCTTGAGTTATCAAGGTTGCAATCCTAGCACCTTGGTGCATACAGATTGTTGGAAATAACATGTTCAACAATTAAGACCTAACTATTGAGAGATGGGAGTGAAATTACAGACATGCCAGGTTAATTTGGTGATTGGCTGAACAGCATTCAGCAGCTTTCCAGTTTGGTCTTAGTTTTATAGAACTTATACCCTAACTTGTACAACCAAACATATAAATATAATTTAAAATGCCGCAGTAGAAATTTTCCTACTTTTCTCGGTCAAATTTAAACCATCAGATGTCAATTACCGAAGAAGCCAGTTTACATACCTAGGACACATAAAATTCAACCGATCAATTAGCTACAACAACGATAGCTTCAAGTAGGACGAGTTAAGTTGTACTTCTACGACAGATGCAAATGCTCAACCAAGTGGTACTGGTACACAAGTATGCCTTTGAGTAGAGCTCGTGAAAAACATGCTGACTACAGGACCAAGCAGAGTGGTGGATACTTTTCTGGCTGTTTTCTATTGTGTTGGTTATGTTGTGAATTTCAAACCCTCCGTATGGGAACAACAAATAAATTTCTTCCTTGATTGAATTGGGAGAACTGGTGCCTTCCATAACAGCGAAACAAAAAGGTGTCAGTGCAAAATTGAACATACCATCAGCACCAGACGCCAGATTTTCACCTGCATGTAACCAGTGCAAAAGATGGGGTTAATTAAGCGTATCAAACAAAAAATACATTGGGTGTTTATTTTATCTTCATTTTTTCCCAGGAAAGAAAACATAAGAAACTTCTCATATGAAATGAAAATAAGAAATAGATGCCGCCTACGCTGGCATTGAAGATATTATGAAATTACGCTACCACCTACCAGAAGGAGAGAAGCGGAGAACATTGACGGCGGAGCTGTGAGACGAGAGGCTGCTG